ATTGGTTCAATTTTAGGGACGTCATTAATATTTTTCATATTAAAATCATTTAGAAATTTATTTTGTTTTATAGTATATTGAAAAGGAAACCTTTTTTATCTTGAACTGGGGTTCGGTAGAAATGGGACAGTTGCTTTTCAATCCAGCATAAGACTGTTAATTCGTTTTCGTGTAGCAGTTGCAGCAATAGAAGACTGAAATCAAAGGAACTCTCTCTTTTTTCTACCCCTTGCCAGTCGATACAGTAGAATTCGTTTTCAGACATCATAAGTCCCCGAGTTGAGGTATATATCCGAAAACAAAATAAAAAAATGATTAGATTATAAAACAATATTATGTAATCATTTTAATAATGGTAAGCGATATGGATATATATTTTAATACAATTAATGTAATAGAAGAAGCAGTTAATGATGATGATAAATATCCAGTTATTAAAGATAATAAAGTGAAGAAATGCTGTCAAATGACGTTAGAACTAACAAAATTGTTAATTAATTATGTAAGATTTACTATAAAGAATGCCACCCAAAAGAAAAAAGAGCATTGAAAGGAAACCCATCCCTGAAGACTTTGAATTGTCGGATGACGAACCAACAACAATTAATTTGAACGAAGAACAGAAGTTAAGCAGTAAATTTATTACCTTTGATTGTCCCTTATGCCACGGTAAATTACAATTAAGGAATGAAATAGAAATCAATCCTAAAGGTATAAAATGTAAATGTAATCCGTGCTCATTCAAGTTAAGTAAGAACGACAAAACGATGAACATTAGCAGGGATGACAACGGAGACATTAAGTTAGACAGTGAAGACCACAGCATATCCTTTTCGTGGAACCGCCAAATCACACCAGAAGACAAGAAGACGGAGAGCACTAACAAGATGATAAGCGATGTAATGAGCACACCCGGAAGTAGCAAACCCACCGAATTTTACGTTATGGATTGAAGAAAAAACTATGTAAAGAGTAGTTTTTGACGTGAAAGCACACCGATAAGTAGATAAGTATCTATTTATATAAATAAATATATAAATAAATATATATGGCGGATGTTGAGAGCGATGATGTTGTAAAGCAGTCGGAACTGGAAGAACTGAAAAGCAAGATGAGCAGGATGAACAAGAACCTCCTAACCATAATGAACACGGTCAAGAACATAGAATACAATCTCAACAACAAGAAGGAAGAGAACAAAGAGAACGACAAAGAAAAGATAAACAAAGCGTTTGAAAAGAAGCAGATAGGCAGACCCGTGGGTTCGTGGGAAGACAAGAGGAAGCAATACTTTGAATGGATTACTTCAGGGAAAATCACCCAACCGAAAGACGAGACTTTAGCATACTACAAAATCAACAGAGACCCGACCAACAACTCCTACGTGTTGCTGACGTAGTTTCATATTTTTAATCTATAGATTTATAATATGAAATTACCTGAACTGTTTTCTGGAACGGGTAGTGTGGGCAAAGTTGCTGGAGACTTCGGTTTTGATGTTGTATCTTTAGACTTGAAGAATGCGAACATCAACACCGACATCTTACAGTGGAACTACAAAGAATTCAACAGAAACGACTTTGATGTTATTTGGGCATCCCCGCCTTGTATTGAATACAGCATAGCGAAGACAACAGGGGTGAGAAAGATTGAGGAAGGGAATAGAATTGTTTTGAAAACCATTGAGATAATTGATTATTTTAAACCGAAGGTCTGGTTCATTGAAAATCCACAGACTGGACTGTTGAAGAATCAACCGTTTATGAATAGATTTAAATATAACGACGTTGATTATTGTAAGTATGGAATGCCTTACAGAAAGAGAACCCGATTATGGAACAACCTTAACAACTGGAAACCGAGAGATTTATGTAAGAAAGACTGCGGACAAATGGAAGGAAATAGACACAAGGAAACAGCACAGAGAGCACCGAGCGGGAAGAAAGAAAACTGGAAAGAGAACTACACACTGTTTAAACAAGATGATTTGTATAGAATACCCGACGCTTTGATAAGGGAATTTTTTGAAAATTTAGACCAGCAATAACTCGTGCCTTAAATAGGGTTTAGTCAGACCTTCCAGTTTGAAAGTCCTGTTGCCCATTGCGTCGTGCTTTATCTTTTCAACCTTGTATGCTCTTTCAGACCATTTACTGTTGTATTCTTTCCTGTCCGTGTAGTTGCCCTTCTTCTTATGAAAGTATTTGACCTTATCGCCTTCCTTTATTTCTGGATACTTTCGTTTGTTCTTTTCTCTTAATGTTAGATTAATTCTGACCGATGAATTGTTCTCGTCTTTGTGTGCCTGTTTGGGTGTCATCTTTGTTGATGAATGGACGCTGGTGTTGTATTTGTTAAGTGCTGGTGTGAGCATTGAAGTCCATCCTGCTTTGTTAAATCTGACCCTGTCGTGTATCATATTCTTCATTGTTCTTATAAATCTTTCCGCTACATTGGCGTGAGTTTGTGTGATGATGTGTTCAATGCCTTCGCCTTCAAAGAATTCTTTCACTACGGATTGAAACGCTCCGTCATTATCACTATATATTGACATTGGAAATCCCATCTTTTTAAACGCTTGCTTTAATGCTGATAGGACGCTTTCGCTGTTATTCTCTTTCATCGGTATGACGTCGGCATACTTGCTAAAGATGTCTATGACAACTAAAGCATATCTTGGTTCGGTTTTTGGGGTTTCAATTTTCACCTCTGGTTTCTTGGAAAGCGGTGCCATAACCATTATGTCAATCTGATATTCAAACCTTGCGAAGGGTGCCGTGTAAGAATTAGTGCCTCTGTATCCTTTGATTTGTTTGTTGGGTTGTTTCTTCATAAATTCTTTCACTTCATCTAATGTTATTTCTTGATTTTGTTGCTTTGCTTTCTTGTATGTCTCTTGAATTGAACCGAACCCACCTTCATTATCGTAATAGACATTGCTGACAATCTGTTCTTTGGTTAATCTTCTTGCCATTATATTATACTTTTAGATTTTTAAATTTACCCGATAAAATAAGAAAAAATACTTAAAGAAATACTGACTTAATATAGTAAGAGTAAATAAGATGACTAAATTTGACTGTGGATGTCGTATAATGACTGAAATTATAACCCTTAACGGAAGAGACCAACCTTGCTGGCAGTATATGTTGAAAACCTTCGTGAATATCTGTGGGAAGTGCGGGAAGAAACAAATGAAATTTCAATATATGGAAAACAAACTTATGGAAATGGAAAAGCAAAGAATGGAAATGTTCTTTCAAGAGGATTATGATGATGAAGAAGAGTATGATGAAGAATATAAGGAACAATTTAGAAATATGACTGATGAAGAAATAGAAAGACATATAGGATTGAAAAGAGTAAGAAATGTAATGGAAGGATTTGAAAGAGAACACGGTATAGACAAAATCAGAAGGATAGTAAAAGAAATCAGAAACGAGAACAATCAACCTGAACCTGAAGATAAAGAATATGACAGTGATAATAGCGAGACACAACGAATGAAACGATTACAGTGGATAAATGACAACCGAAAACCCAAAAACTGAAAGAGACCCCAAAAACTACTTAAAGAAACATTAACTATATATATATATTAAGAGAATGCTATTTACTTATAAAAACTGTAGGTGTTGTAAAAAAGAAATGACTGACATAAAGGTTTTGCTAAACAACATTTTCCCCGCTGAAATTTGTAATGAGATATGTGATTACAACCTCTACTGTTCAAAATGTAAAGACTTATACGACAAGGAACGAACATACAAAGATTTCATTTACCATTTTGATTTTGAGTCGTGGCAACTGACAACAACCGAAAAACAAATATATTTCTTTCAAACAAGTATGAATAAATCCCCAATCTTTTTATCCAACACCAACCGAACAAATACCAGGGTAATGAAAAGGGAAATAGACGAATTGATGGACAGGAGCGATTGTAAGATAGAACTTTTAAACAACAGACTATTTGTTCAAGCGATTAAATCCTATGTAAAAAAGAATTGGAAATATACCTATCATATCCTCAAGCACTTTCATCATCTGAATTACATAATATTTTCAAAGAAACAAAACTGCTGGTGGTTTCCTAATGTTGATGGAACTTATGTCTTTAGAAATAAATCATATAGTGTAAAAGACATATTGAACATATTTTTACGCGAATACACTGAAGAACTTTTTAAGGGTTATGAGACTTACATAAATCAAGAAGAAATAAAAGAGCACCTACAAAAAGTGATAGATACTTAAAGAAAAAATAACTATATATAGTAAGAGAAAATGAGTAGAGCAAAAATTGAGGTTATAGATACAGGTAATATTGGTATATACGCTGACTTTGGTAGTGATAGTGAAGATGATGACTGGGAAAGAAAAGCAATAGAAAAAGAAGACGAAGAGATTAGAGACTTTGTAAAATGTCATCCTACGCCTTCACCAGACGATGAGGAAGGAAAACAATTATGGACAAAAGTAATTGACAGATTAAAGAAAGAGGATGGAGTTAATGAACTTGTAATCTTTTCCTTCTGGAGATTTGATATTATGAAAAAGATGTATGAAAACCTCACTGATAAAAAAGTCATCATTGATTGTGGTAAAGAACTCAACCGTGATGGTAAATTTAACGCAATGATTATTAACCTAACTCTTTTATCAATAGCAATGGACGAACTGAATGATACAAACCAACCTTGCCTAACACAACTGCGAGTAATTGAACACTGGTGGGATGGAATAGGAGAATGGAAAGCATAACAACCACCAAAAAAACACCACAACACCTAACCTAAAACCAAACAAGGTGACTATGAGAACAAAACGATAGATTTAGTCCTAGAAACCCCCCCACAGAAAAACAACAAAGGTAAGGATAAAACATTGAACATCAACATAAAACCAAACAAGGCAACATACAAACCCCCATGCCCCAGAACCCCCCTTTTACCATTTTTTTTCCCATCTATCCCATGTAGGCCTGTCATCCACTCCAGGTGGAGAATTTCAAGGCCATGCTTCAGGAGCAGGGTGTCCGAGCCTTCGACACCTTCAACGCCTGGCTTCCTCGGCTCCTGGGTGACGCGCGCTTCACGTCGGTGCCGAAGAGCCAGCGGCGGAAATTGTTTCAGCGCCTGGCGCAGAGCTTGGGAGAAGGGCAAAGGAAGCTGGAGGTGGGATGGTAGCACTAAGGGGGCGTACCATGGCGTGCCCGAGATTGCAAGCATGAACTGATATGCTCAGAAAGATGGCTTTGCAATGTTTGATGGCTCATACATGACAAGCTATCTCAGATTTGGTTAGATTCCATATTGAAATGCACTCCCAAATGCAGCCAATGCGTTGGCTGTCAGCCCCAGATCAAAAACCCCGGCTGGCTGATGATTTGCACTCCAGCCCGAGAGCTTGTCAGGCTGACAGCCGGCGACAAGGACGTGAGGGATTCTTGCAGCTGCTGGAGCTTGCTCATTCCCAAGGTCAGTTGGAGTCAGTAGCTTTGCTGCACCAAAATTTTGGGTTGCCTCCTTGAAGCATGAGTCAGAAGCCACAAAGTGGCTCCTTTCCAAGAAGAACGTGATCCTCCAAACCAATTTCTTCTGCTTGACAATTTCAATTATTGTTTATATATGATTCAACCATGTTTGGGATTATGATTATCCCTATTGTTGCTTGATGTTGGTTGCATATCCATGATATATCCTATGATATTCCCATGGTATCTCCACAAAGATGGTGAACATTCTTGATTTATCAACGCTTCATGGATTTATATCATATCATACATTTCTACGTTACCCATACATATATTTCCCGTTACATTTGAATAAAAAAGTGACTTCAAAAAAATAATCACTTCTTGGTTTTTAACAGTTTTACAGTGCATACACACACTTGCTCAGAAACATCTTATCGAATTACTGATGTGGAATGCATCGTACGTGCAAAAACACTTCAGTTAAACCTGACAGGAAATAGTAAATGACCAGGCGTGAGAAACAGTGGAGAAGAATTCTTTCTACGTCCTTGCTAGATGCAACTGTTCCATCTGACGAAGTCAGCAGTAATTCAGATTGCGAAAACCGTACAGTGGTTAGAAAACTGTTGGAAACAACGACATGCCGGTTCTTGGCTTGGCCGGTTGCCAATGACGGGAATGAAAATGGTGCAGGTACGCAGATTGGCGTCCCAATCTGTATCACCAGATCAAATGGGTGTCTTCGTTGGTAGCGGTCCCAAATGATCTGCCGCTACCCCCTGCTAGGTTAGAAGTTTTACATCTTTACAGATGGTTCACACACACACACCTCCCGCAGGAGGGTGGGAAATTAAGGTCCCGACAATGAGATGAAAATGAAGAGGAAGGGAAATGAAGATGAGGTGAAGATGACAATGAGATGAAAGCTACTTAACCAGGGCGCAAAGAGGGGAACGCAAAAGAAGAGGGAAAGAGAAAACACCAACACATGAAACCTAGCCCGCAACGGGCAACCCTGGAAAGGCAAGGGAAAAGAAAAGCGGAGGCCGACGGAAACCGAAACAAGACCAGCGGAAGAAGGGGGAAGACAGAAGCGCCTGAACCAACCTGACGCGGCGAAAACCTACAACAACCTCAGCACGCAACGGGCCAAACCTACCTGGAGAGAGGAGAACGCAAGAACACATGAAATAGGACCCATGGGGAACTAGTTTATGACAAGATGTATCCACAACGCATGCAAAATTCGTGATAAGGCTCAAAGGCCCTCGGCTTTCAAGTCACAACCCTCTGGACGGCTTACGTGTTCAACCCCTGAATTAGGTGCACAATTTCAACCTCACCGAGAAACCAAAAAAGAAGTGACCACACCTGGAAAGCATGTCCTGAAGCCTCCACATGGTTCCATGTCATGTTACCAACTGTCGAGCACCGTACTCTCTTGGGCAAAGTTGGAAAAAGAAGGTTTCCACAGCTTTCAGCAGGCTACCAGGGACAGGATGTCAGTCGCTCCAAATGGTGAGTGCTCAAACGGCAGCCCATTGTTCAACACAACGACCGTCAGAGTGAAACCTGAAAGGTGAACGGCTGTTTCACAATACTTAAACGAATTACTAATTCAAAAGTGTAAATTCAGACATCGTTTTACCGTCAATTCTTAGCCTAGAAAGGCTTTCCCCGAAGGGCTCATACCACCTTGTCGGACAACGGTATGAGTGACACACTTGCTCAGAAACATCTTATCGAATTACTGATGTGGAATGCATCGTACGTGCAAAAACACTTCAGTTAAACCTGACAGGAAATAGTAAATGACCAGGCGTGGGAAACAGTGGAGAAGAATTCTTTCTACGTCCTTGCTAGATGCAACTGTTCCATCTGACGAAGTCAGCAGTAATTCAGATTGCGAAAGCCGTACAGTGGTTAGAAAACTGTTGGAAACAACGACATGCCGGTTCTTGGCTTGGCCGGTTGCCAATGACGGGAATGAAAATGGTGCAGGTACGCAGATTGGCGTCCCAATCTGTATCACCAGATCAAATGGGTGTCTTCGTTGGTAGCGGTCCCAAATGATCTGCCGCTACCCCCTGCTAGGTTAGAAGTTTTACATCTTTACAGATGGTTCGCACACACACACATATATATATAATGTGTGTGTGTATCCCATGACATCCCCACTATACCCCCCCATGTTTTGTGTTGTGAAATCCCCCGTAGTCACCGGTGGTCCCAGGTCTCCCTTGCCGCGACCATGGCGGAGCTGGAGCGTCACTTCGCCCAGGACGGCCGCTGGACGCAGGTCGCGGCGCCGGAACGGCAGCGCTTGGTGGAGCTGAGGTGGGCGGATGTGCGGAAGCTGAAGGAGGACCATGGCTTGGGGATCCTTGGGGATACCATGATTTTAACTATATGACTATGGTTATATGATGGTTATATGATGGTTATATGATGGTTATATGATGGTATATGATTGGTATATGATGTTATATATCCACTCATGACTGGAACTATCGCAACTTATTTATATATCATATCCCGCAACTATGGGTATACATACATACATACATACATACATATATATATATTATTTGTATAATAAGTGGGATAACCCCCACTGAATGGGGACTTACTAAGATTAGGAGCCATGATATATGTCGCCAATAATGGTGATTTTAGCAACAACTCATAGAGGTCTAGACAGACCCTATTCAGTCAGAACTCTATCAGAGGTATGAAACTTACATACCACCATATTTGACCCCTTTATAGCACTCCAGGTATCGTAATAGCTATTAGCCACACCATAACTATTCTTTGTGGCTCCATGTGGCTCTTTGCGACTCTTTATCTCTTATTTGCACTCATAAACCCTTAAAGGCTATGCATGCAGGGTTGGACACACATCAATTTCCTCATACCACTACTTCGGGTCCCTTCAGACAAGCCTTTCTTCCGGACTGGGGTTCATGTCTTTGAACTCTGTTGAAGGAATGGGAAAATGAAGCACCACAGACTGGGCATCTTAGCTACTCTTAGCCACTCTTGAACCTTAGATGGGGAATGATGGCCCCTCTGGGTGATATGGTGAGATGCCTTGGGAGCTCCCAAACCCTGTAATTTGCATTGTTTCAGGGGTTTGACCCCTGTTATTTTAACTGCTCATAGCCACTTGCTTGATTCCCTGATCTTAGCCACTCTTTACCACTCTTGAATTGGTTCAAGCTGCATTCGTTGTGAGCCAAGTACCAAAATGATTTGCTCCCGGAGCGATGATGTCACTCAAACACACCAAGACCCCCTAGTCCTTTCAGGGCCAAGGCTTTTATGAGTAAAGGGGTCCGACCAATCAGGTTCTGACCAACCCCCTATGAACAACTACTATGGACCAGCTGCAGTTTGGGCGGTTTAACCATCAAAAATATTGATTGAAACATGCTTCGAGGCTTATACATAACCAAAATCCGGGTTTACAACCAACCATAACGGCACTGATGGTGATAGTGTATGGAATATGATGTGTTTATATGTGTTTGTTTGTTTGTTTGTTTTTTCTATTTAATTGGAGCCTTCAGAAGAGAGGAAGAGGAACAGAAGGCTGCCAGAGCTTGGAGATCTTGGCTGCTGGAGACTTGGCGTATTTTCCCAGCGGGAAATCTACTACTTCGGGAATCTATAGGGAACTACTTAGGGAATCGAAAAGGGAATCTAAAGGGAATATTTTTCCTGCATTTTTTTCCCGTAATGTCTGGTCATATTTTCCCAAATCCATGCAGAAATCTCTTGCGGGGCACAATTGTGGTGTACCATGGTGTACCAATCCACGCATTTGGCGTGTTTTTTTGTATTGAATTATTAATCATCCATCTTGGGGGTCCAAGATAATTTTGACCCATACCTGCCATACCCCTTTGAGCATCAGTTGTCACAGGAATGGTTTTGCAACCCTGGAGTTTTGGGTGAATGGATTGTTCTTTTTCATGGATTAAATCGGTGGGTTGACTTTTTTGATTTTGTTTGGGGCAGGTGCTTGTTTGGAGCGAAGGCAAAATCATCAATGCCATTCACTCTTTTTCTGCTAATCAGGTCTTTAGGTCTAGAATTCCATCCGTCCTCATTCTTGTCGATCTGGTTGTTTCCCATATGTCCGTGTTTTCGACCACATGGGCCGTTGACCCGCAATTGACTTGGCGGTCCGATTCATTTTCGGAGGTCGTTCAAGGCCAGTAGCCTGGCCTTTCCCTTCACCATGATATTTCACATATTTCAAGTGATGCCCCTACTACAAATAGGGTTGTAACAGGAATGGTGAAAAAATCCTTGTTTTATATTCCCATAGCCCGCAGCTATTTCTTGGAGAAAAATACAATCCACTCCACTTGCCACTCCACTTGCCCCCAACCAAGGAGAAGGTCTCCCACCACCCGGCCATGCGGCCGCCAGCCTTCGACGCCCTGCCGATGACCGACGCGGCGAGTTTTGAAGCGCTGCCTGTGGCCCGGCGCCGGGCGATCTACGAGGAGCTGGCGGCGGAGCTGGCGAGGAAGGCGGCGAGCGAAAAGAAAGCGGAGGCGATGTGGGGAAAGATGTTGCATGATTTTCGCTGATATTCGCCATGATTTTTGGGCATATTTGCCATGATTCTGCAGGATTTTCCGTGGTTTCCAATGAATTTCCACCAGGATGACAGAAGATTTTTGGGAAATGCTGAGAGAAACTATAGTTGGGATTTGACTACTATTGAAGGACAGCGCTGCCTGGTCCACTTCAAGATTGGGGATTTTGTTGAGGAGGAGACTTTTGTCGCAAGTACTAAGGTCCGTTTGGATCTGAATTGATGATATTTGAATATACTGTATTTGATATCAATGACTCAAGTATGACTCAAGTAAGTCAGCAATGTTCAAAACCCCTGTTGGTTGATGATTGTATGGGGCTATACTACCCAATATGTTAGAGCTGTTAGGGACTATCATAATCCATTGGATCCATTGGGGGATGCTGGGGATCCCTATTCACCGGCCTCAGGCGGATGAGGAAGACGACCTCCTGGAGAAACGCAAACGCAGCCGCCTGGAGGTGGCCGAAGAGGACTTCCGGGGTCTCTTGGCGAAGAAGATCCGATCGCCCTTGGAATTCAACTGGAAGGACGGCTGCGGCATGGGTGTATTTTTTCTGCTGATAATTTTGAATAAGTGTTGGCATTTTTTGAGGCTTAAGGTTATAAGGTTGAGTTGTGAAGGATGCACTCAACATACCAACTCTGAGATGATCAATGGTGTGATGGCTTTGTGAGATGCGTGCTGGCGTCAGCAATCTTTTGCAGCTAGACGAGTATCAAACCTGGAAGTCCACATGGCCAAAATCATGCCTTGCTGACCCCTCTATAAATACAAGCTGCTATGTAGATCGAATTAATGACATCATAATCTAAGCTTCATTTTGGAGTTCCAGTCTTAAATTTCCAGGTGGTTTTGATATGTTTTGATCCCCAGATGGCGCAGGAGATTACTATGGTTTTGGATGGCGAGAAGCTTCCAGAATTAGATGAGGTGGACCTGGAAACCATCTTCAATGAGGTCAAATCGGAAGATCTGGCGCGTCCCGGCGATGTCTGGGGGGTGAAAAGGTGACCGGTCGGTGATTGATTGACTGGGAGGTCAGAGCTTAGCCATAAGCAGAAGGTTTTGTAGTTTTTGGATGTTTTTGCGGTATCTAAGCCATTCTAAGCCTAGTCAGGATTTGGTGATGTTGCTAAATATGTGCCAGGCTTAATCGACATAGAAGGCTCGATGAAATCTCCCATGTTGGATCATGGATCAATGTAGTGGGTCAATCCCGTCTTGTAGCTCTTCAGATGGTGATTATGATGGATTTGTTTGTTGCATAATCGCCATGATAATCACCATGATAATGTTGATAATGATTATAATTATGTTGATTATGGTGATTATGGTGATGATGGTGATTATGATGGATTTGTTTTGATTGTTTTGGTTGAGAGATCCATTTCCCGCTCTTTGATATCGCAAGGTTTGGAGCTACCTCATCGTCTTGCTTCTATTTCGTTCTACGTCCATCACTTATCAGTCCAAACTATTGTATGACTTTGGTAGTCATTTGTTTGGCAAGTTCAACATCCCTTAATCTCCAATCGCCTTTATATTTACATATAATTATTCAAATATATATATATATATAATTGATTATAATTATAATTGATCCCATGTTGTTTCTGCCATTGTTTTGTAAGTTCAAAGTTCCCCAATTATCATTGCTGCTGTTTCCATCACATATAATAAGTTACCACCATTTTTTAGGATGCCAAAACGTCCCACGTTTTTTTTTTTGTTGGGTCTATAGTCTTGATAGGATTAATAATAAAGTCATCCCCGAATTCAGCAAACAACGTACCAACCTCAGATGGTTCAGTGAGAATCCCCCAATTGTTCTTAAGGCTCGATCCATATGTGGCGAATCTTGATGCTCTAATTGCTTTATATAAACCAGCCGAGTTAGGGGTTTCCCATAAAATGTATGCAAAGCCATGTCCATATTTTGGAGCCGGAGATGGTTGACGAAGAATCCCGAGTAAACATCCATCGATGGGGGTTAACACTCGATCTCCAAACAAAAATGCCATTCACCTACAAGACAAGTCACACCCTAAGTCTCGAAAGCTAGTAATTTTACTAATTTAGTAATTTTACTAATCCAGAAGATTTTACGTAAAATTTTTGTTGATTTTTGCAAAATTAGTAAAATGTAAAAAAAAAGGAAAAGTGCATCAAAAGTGCATCAAAAATGCATCAAAATGCATCAAAAATGTGCCAGAAGATGTGTGATAGGTTTTCGAATTTCCTTGAATTTGATATAAGAAGCAGAATGAATATGCAAATATTGTTGAGGAATGTGAAGAAATTAGCATGTGGAACCTGCATAAGGATATGTCCTTTGCCGCAAAACGAAAACATTCTGAAAGAAAGATAGACGGTCAATTCCTGATAGCTTGCATTGGGGTGTGAAAAAAATAAGTGCTGCTGCTGTTCGCTGAGGTTGGCTTTACATTAAAACAGATCCAAGAAACTTTTCTGCATAAAGACTTTACTTGAAAATGTTGACACTGCACTTTACTTGAGGCTGCATCCAATAAACTTTACTTGAGACTGCTGTAAGTGAACTTTACTTGAGACTGCATCCAATGAACTTTACTTCAGACTGCATCCAATGAACTTTACTTGAGACTGCTGTAAGTGAACTTTACTTGAGACTGCATCCAATGAACTTTGCTTGAGCCTGCTGTCAGTGCACTTTACTTGAGACCGCATCCAATGAACTAGACTTGAGACTGTTGTCACCGCACTTTACTTGAGCCTGTTGTCAGTGAACTTTACTTGAGCCTGCTGTCACTGAACTTTACTTGAGACTGCTGTAAGTGAACTTTACTTGAGACTGCATCCAATGAACTTTACTTCAGACTGCATCCAATGAACTTTACTTGAGACTGCATCCAATGAACTTTACTTGAGACTGCATCCGATGAACTTTACTTGAGCCTGCTGTCAGTGAACTTTACTTGAGACTGTTGTCAGTGCACTTTACTTGAGCCTGTTGTCAGTGAACTTTACTTGAGACTGCTGTCAGTGAACTTTACTCGAGACTGCATCCAATGAACTTTGCTTGAGGCTGCATCCAATAAACTTTACTTGAGGCTGCATCCAATGAACTTTACTCGGGCCTGTTGCCAGTGAACTTTACTTGAGACTGTTGTCAGTGAACTTTACTGAGTTTGCTATCATTGCACTTTGCACCTTACTTGAGACTGCACTGAATGAGTTTTACTTCAAACTCAATGCATGCAATCTCTTTTTGAGAGAGAACCTTATCATTTTTTATTTTTTCCAAGAAAAATGCCATAAATTCTTGACGCACTTTTTGACGCACTTTTGACGCACTTTTGGCGCACTTTTGACGCACTTTTGACGCACTTTTGATGCACTTTTAAAAAGTGCATCAAAAGTGCATCAAAAGGCGGTAAAAGTGCATCAAAAGTGCATCACTTTTGAAACATCAAAAGTGCATCAAAAGTGAAAGTGCATCAAAAGTCAAAAGTGCATCAAAAGTGCATCAAAAGTGCATCAAAAGTGCATCAAAAGTGCACCAAAAGTGCACCAAAAGTGCACCAAAAGTGCATCAAAAGTGCTCCAAAAGTGCATCAAAAGTGCACCAAAAGCATCAGAAGTGCATTGCATTCTTGACCGTGTTCAAGCATTTTTCTGAAAAAACTTTGGACACATGTGAAAAAATATTCATATGGAATTGAAAGTGGAGTAAGGGTCTCACTAAGACTTCTTGGATGTATTTTTTCAAGCCAGCCAAAGGTTTACCAGGATTTCATCCAGACCTTCTCCAAATTGTATGAGAAAAAAACACCACAAGAGTCTATGAGCTCCCTTTTAAATTTAGCTTTGAAAAAGACATGTCTTCAGTCCCCATGGACAATTGTTTTATGTAAGTTGATCAAGTTTTGTAGCAAACAAACCTGATCCAATAAAATTTGGTTCACTTTCCTTGCCTGGAAAAAATGATAAGATGTGGTTATTATTGCTTTGATATTTCACCTAGTCTCATTTACCCCAAAAAAATATCTAGACTTTCTTTTTCAAATGTAAATGCTTTGCAATGACTTCTTAAAGTCAAGATCCAATGTAAATTCCTTTTGTGGATTCACCTATTATTATGTAAATCCAGTTTATATGTTTATATAGATATATAGATATAGATATAGATGTACATGATTTCACATAACATCTCAAAAGAACTCTCAGGTAAAGTCCCAAGAAAGTACCAAGAACTCCTCATATAAAATCGCAAGTAAAGTCTCCAGTACAAACTCATGTAAAGTCATTCCTCAACACATAAGTGCAGTTTCTTCTACAGTAACAACAACATATCGATTGAAATCCTCCACTGGAAACACCCCACTCCTAACCAAATCATCGCAAACCACAATCACACACATCACAAAAAATATCATAATTCCTAAGAAAAACAATAGAAAAAAAAAACAATTTTCACAATTTTTGAAAGCATGCAAAATATTTTACTAACGTTAGTAAATTTTACTAACGTTAGTAAAATTTTACCTAAAATAACGTTAGTAAAACAGTCGATTTTACGTAAAATTCAGGGCGAGTAAAATTACTAACTTTCGAGACTTAGGGCATTAAAAACACATTGAAGAGAATGGAGGTCGTTGCCATCCACATTTTATTAGTAATTATAAAAAATATACATTTTACCACATTGTATCAATTGGAGATACCACTTTGTATCAGTAAAATCCACGTTTATCAGATGATAGACGATCCACATTCTATCAGATGACTATTCTAAAATCATAATGTATGGTAGAATTATGTTTACCATGATCATCTAAAATCCACGTTGAAATTATTTAATGCGTAATGTCACCATAAGTCATGTGCTACCATCAGTAATAACGATTATATATATATATGGAGGTTTCCTGAAATGGGAGTATTCCCAAATCATCCCCTTGAATAGGATTGTCTATCATAAATCATCTATTTTGGGGTGCCCTCATTTATGGAAACCCCAAAATAAATAATGTAATACCAAAAATGGTAGGTTTCCATCAGTAAAATGTATTGATACTTTATGGAAACTGATGATGTTATATAGAGTGGGCCGATTATGGAACCCCCCATATATAATGTATATATACATATATTATATATATATACCTACCATCAGTAATGTCATCAGGCGTCGCCTGGACGCCTTCTCTGCTGCTTTGCTGCGTTCGGAGCTTGCAGCGGAGACCTCATTGCAGGACGCGTTTTTCTCGACGCCGTTGTGGGCTGACCTTGCTGTGAAGAGTTTATGCATGTTTCAATGGATACTGTATATGTAGATTATATATATAATGATTTAGTTAATATTTCTGGATTGATGTTTCAAAGATTTTTAGAAGGATATGTATGTTTTTGTGGATTCAATGGATATTTATGGTGGTTCTAGGGCATGCTTTTCTGGGTTTTCAAAAGGGGATGACCCTGAAAAAAAACACCGCCCTGCTTGCTGGGTATCGCACATGTGGCTGGTGAAATCCCTATCTCAGGATAGGTCCAGTCAACTGGACCAGTTCTTCGGATGATTTCCTGAAAAACAAAATCAATGGGCGCCCTAGACGTGCCAGCTCAATTCAGCTCACTGATCGACTCGATGTGCTGAGAGGTCATTTTCCTCTGAATCATCTCAGCGTGGCTCTGAATTGCGCCGCAAGCAATCCCAGAATACTGAATCACAAGACACGTCATCAGCAACCTGTTCGTTTTTTTTAGGCCTGATGAAATTTGATGATATAGTAGTCGAACTGATGTCCATATTTATCAAGTGAACACGGCATGTCTTGGAACTTCTTGCGTCCATGGCTGAGCTATGCGGAAGTATTGGAAAATACGCCTGATTGACCATGGTTAAGCATTGACAGTCACAGCCACACCAAGTCTGACTATCAACAGCCACAAAGCCATCAATTACCAATGACATTTACTGACCATTAACAAGCCGATAGCACAAGTCTTTGCTGTTTGATCTTGTCTGAAAGGAAGCCATCCAATCTGTGGAAATGGAGGCCAGACCGTTGGGTGATATGTATATGCTGATGCAAGTTCAGTGCAGTTGTCAAGGGTTATGCCCCGATATATGATATTATATAGGACAATGATTTCATATATGATATCAAAAGGACCGAGTGTACGGAGAATTCAGTTTTCTTGGTAACTTATCCCCACGAGTTTGTGCAAGTAGTCTGATGATGGTGATAAGAAGCATGGTGGCATTGACAAGCTATCCCTTTCCAGCTGTCAAGTGTTCCAGCAAATCTGGATGAAGCAGTTGCGGTCAACGCATGCCTCCAGGAGTATCTGCAAGCTGTACCTCAAAATGAGCTGAAGAAACGGTGGGAGGAGCGCCAGAAGCGGGCAGATGTTGGCGCCAACGTCTGCTTAGCAGCATCCCAATCCTCCAATTTGTTTCATTTGATTTTCCTGATTATCCGGCATATTATACAGTAAACGCAACAATTATGTTAAAATTAAATGTCCACAAAACCATTATTGTTGGTTAATGCGGTTATATATGATATCCTCATTATTTCAAGTATATGTTTGATTTACTCCAATTCTTGATGATGAAACCACTATTGTTGATGGTTACCGTAACCCTATTTTGGCTGGTTAATCCACAATTTTGATGATTAAATCACTGTTACCGTGAAATATTCTCACTATCTACTATCTCCCGATTAGATTTCTTCATCATTTTCCCGACTAAACGTTTTGTTGCTTAAACCCCTTCAGTTTTTGAATGTTTTTGACCCTTCAAACCCACCATCCAAGCCCAAACCGCTCCAGGACTGGCGTCGCTTCCGCGTCACCGAAGCCCTGGACGTTTTCGCCGCCTGGCTACGCCAGGAACCGGCGCTCTACACGGCCGAAGCCCAAAGGGCGGCTTCACGTGGCGCCGCGGTGGAGGAGCTGTGCAGCTGGGATCAACGGCACGTGGGGAGACCTTTTCGGAATGGGAAATCCACTACTTGGATCTACTTGGGGAATCTTTATTCCCCACCTGCCAGGTGCGGGTTGTTAGATTTATCACAGTTGTTCTCCTCCTCCGCCTCCTCCGCCTCCTCCTCCTCATCCTCCACCTCCTTCTCCTCCTCCTCCCTCTCCTCAAGCTTCTCCTCCACCACCTTTGCATCCACTTCCATGTCCACTTCCGCCTTGCCAACTCTTCGCCAACTTCCGCATGCAGTGGGCACTGCTGGACCTCAACTGCCGTCCGCCTTGCCAACTCTTCGCCAACTTCCGCATGCAGTGGGCACTGCTGGACCTCAACTGCCGGCGTGCGGTAGGAGTGGGCACCGCTGGACCTCAACCTGGGACCTTCCGAGCTCAGTGAGCACCGCTGGACCTCAGCCTGGGACCTTCCGAGCTCAGTCAGCACCACTGGTCACTGGACCTCAACGGCCAGATAGAATGCCAGAAGATATGCCAGATAGAACGCCAGATAGCATGTCAGATAGAATGCCAGAAGATATGCCAGATAGAACGCCAGATAGAATGTCAGATAGAATGCCAGAAGATATGCCAGATAAAATGCCAGAAGATATGCCAGATAGAATGAGTTCTGATATGCCAGATACAATGCCACAAGGTATGCCAGATAAAGTGCCAGAATGTTTGCCAGATAGAATGCCAGAAGATTTGCCAGATAGAATGCCAGATAGGATGTCAGAAGATATGCCAGAAGATATAGAATGCCAGATAGAATGCCAGAAGATATGCCAGAACATATGCCAGATAGAATGCCAGAAGATATGCCAGATAGAATGCCAGATCGAATGCCAGAAGATATGTCAGATAGAATGCCAGAAGATTTGCCAGTAACAAAACGTATAAATGTCATGGTGGGCATCACTCGAAGCAAAGTATTTTTTTGGGGGATTCCTCAAGCACATCCAAGACGACATAGGGACCCAACCAGCAAGATGATGACACTGGTGATTTAGGCAGAAAAAAAAAGTGCTTTTGCTGTTTTACCAACCAATTTTGGATTTGAGCAGGCAAAGTAGGGATTTAATTGTGCAAGATCGGGATTAAACAGTCAAAATCGGAATGAACTGCCATGCAAAAACATGATGTACCAGCCCCCGTCAGGGCGGTTCTAACCTATTCAGTAATAAGGTTCGATGTCATTGTCCAATGCAGGATCTAAAATGCCATGAAACCATACCCAATGATAGTGGTTTACTGTATCAATTGGTATGCCATTGCCACGGCATGTTTTACCATACCCCAAAATATGAGTGTGTTGTAGCGTGTCTCAAAATGGTGGATACCCCAATATATGGCCGATGGTCGAACATGTGACGCAACTATGGGGCGGAATGGGGCACCCAATTCCAAGAAACATTCAAATGGTAAAAAAAAAACAATCTGCATCGTTGTTGAGGTCAGAAAATGTCAGAAAGGATTGCAGCACATATGTAGGATATAGTAGCATCTCATCATGTCACCCATTTCGATTTTGGGCACTTCGCGCTGGAGCATCAAAAGGGCCAGCAGTCATGGACTGGTTACATACAGCGCTGTAACAAAAGTATGAATATGAAGGCAAATCCTGTACAACTATTATATGTACTGTGTATATATATATAATGTGTATATATATATATAATGTATACATTAGATCTGATAATTAAAAGCGGTGCCGTGTTTTCTCATTTCAAACCAAAGGTTCAGCTGCCCACCATCCACTGTCATTCAATGTTCAAAGACTTGGTTTGCTCCACTTGTATCCATTTATTACCCATGTCTAAATTAATTATGTGTGCATATTTTGTGAGATTTCTTCGGGGTTGAGTGAATCTGAGGCAAGAAATTGGAGTCCGACCTTCGCTACCGCCGCTTGGACTGGGTGCCCAGTCAGCGCATGAAGGTCATCACGGCTCGCCTCGACGAGATTGCGGCGGAGAGGAAAGCGCCCTCAGATTCAGAGTGAAAAAAGGACCCCGACATTGGCGCAGGAGGAAACAACCCAACTGGTTGGTGGTTTCAAGTATGATCAAGTGTATGTGTTATTTCCATCCTACTCGTATTTATTTTGATGATTCCTCATGACAGTCATGACATATTTCAGGAAGCTTGAACCAACAACCATCCACGTTTAGGGGAAAATCCTGGTGTCTCTGGACACTGTTGGGGACACTCATCCCAAAATCATCTAAAGTCATCTTGAGCCCAAAGGCATCCAAAGGCTACATGATTGGGTCCAACAAGCCCCTTCTGGGGGTATCCTGGGGTGGTACTGTGGGGTATGGTGCGTAATAAATGTTGGTTCCAGCCACTGGCTATGCCAAAAAGGGCCTTGGTGTCCGTGGAACTCACCTGCCCTGCATCTGGAGCCAAGGATTGCTGGACATCGAGCCCTCCGATGCCAAGTGCTGCAAGCCCACCTGTTCCAGCATCAGCTGCCCTGCTGGAAAGGAAGTACCACCTGCCAAGGACCATGGGTCCATGGGACCAACGGGTAAGTCATGGTAAATCTATATGTAAATCTATACAATTCTATACGATACTATACGATATAGCATTTGCACTATTCTATACTATTCAATTCTATACTATACCAGGTGTAGCAACCCCCATGTTAAGATTGAAAAGTCAAAAGCCGCTCGAAATTGGTTATAAAATATGTGTCTAACTGTTTGAAGGTATATATGCTACAAATCACAACAAGATGCATTTGGCTTAGTGCTGTTGATGTTGAATCGACATGAGTCACTTCACTGATCCGTTCCCAAACAGACGGACAAAGTGCTGGTGACCGAAGACAAGTGCTGCGACACCGTCTGTGGTGGCTACACCTGCGGCAAGGGATGGCAAGCGGATCCCTTGAAGGCCAGGCATAATCCCCCGGGGGGATGGTACTATGTGAATTTTGCCTACTTATACATTGGAATGATTGAGGTTTGGGGGATTGTTTATTTTTTTGGTTAGCGTTATTTTATCAGTGCATATTGGTGGTGTTTGTGGGTGTTTGGCATTGATTGTAGGTATGAGTAGGTGTTTGGCAGCGTTGGGCTTTGATCCTTTGCAAGGAGCCAGGAATTGATCCTACGGATGGTTTGGTCAGATAAATAGGGTGCCCCCCTACCTGCCTGGTTTACCATTATTTATTTCCACATTAAGACGATGGCAATTCTGGGATTATACCCGTATAACTAAGTTTTGGACAAAGCCCCAGTCCATGCAGATTGAACCTGAGTTCCTTTTGCCAAAACCAGCTTTTTGTGACACTGGTGGTGGAGATTTTTTTGGGTACCCAACTGAATTTCCCGTTGCTCAGCAATGTCCAACTGATCATCTACCCCTGGCCCAGGCCACCAAGTTTGGAAACACCGACCAGGTGCCGAAGGGCGGCGCGGTGGTGTGGAGTATAGGGCGTTGTTCGGCACCATCTGGATGTAAGGGGTAGGCCGGGTAGGCGGGGGTCTAAGAATCCAACAGAACATGAAGGATCAGTTTACATGCCTACATTCGATGCTGTTCGTACAAGGTCATGTAGGCCTTTTGGGTATACCCTCCAGGAAAATGACATGGAGAACACTTGAAGCATGTTATGAAGCGAATTTTGAGGTGCATGTTTCGATGTATTTATAGACCATCCCTGCCTTGGACGGGATTGGGATCGTCTTTGGCTCAGGCTTGCTGTACAAGAACGTGTGCCAAGTACGAGTGCAGCGCTGGTTGGGCCCCCAACCCTGACGTGGCATCCTTTGCTCCTTGGTGAAGGGAGTTTGGGTGGCACGGGTGGCACGGGCGGCATGGAAAGTTGGGGTCTGACATGTCATGACTTTCTGTTCTGGGTAAACCCCAATATTTGAATGTTTTGCGATCTTTGTATGTCTGGATGGGTATACATGATAGCCAACTAATTCTTTTGCAAGGTATCTAGGACTGGCAATTACGGGTTTTGCCTGACCTTGGTGCTACAGAATGCTACGGCGGTCAGGATGCGGTGCTGAGGTCGGTGTCAGTGATGAGCTTTGCTGCAAGAAGAAGTGCTCGCAGTACCAGGACAAGTGTACGGGTCTTTGGGCAGCACTGGACTTTCAAAGGCGGACCCTTGGGGTAGCAGTTCTGATGCCAGGGCTTCTATAGCACTCAGATGCATATTGAAAGTTGTGCCGATGTGTTGGTCCTCTATGCTGACCACATGTGCCGTGCAAGACTTGGTAGGATTGGGGACTGTGTCAATGTTGCAAGAGTTACTCTCATATCTATCCTGCAAACCTATCCAAGCCCAACATGAATCTTGAAATATTGGCCTTGGAGAGATTTTCTCCTCTTTGAGGGAGCCATTTCTCAGGTTCCAATTTGAAGTTTCGGGTGCCCTGCGTACTGCTTGATCCAACACGTCAAAACCTGCATGCCACGAAACATTTCACACACGGTAAGCTACAAAAAAAATCGAGATCCCTCGTATCTCTTATTACTCATCGTTATTATTTTGCGAATCAACTTTTGCCATGGATCGGGGTTACCTCCCATTTTTGGGCAAAGCCGCTTCATATCGTTGGTGATGTTTCCCAATCAACAATATTTCATAAAACATCATAAAACGGTTGGGATTTGTTGGTTGGACCATTCATAATAAACACCACAATTGGAAGATCACTATGTTTCATGGTAGAACCCCTATTTCGGCTTGTTCATCCACAATGTTTGATGGTTATATCAATGTTGTGAAATATTTCAATTATCTCCCCCCAAAAAACCCTCTTCTTCATCATCATTTTCCCCATATATGAAACCTCTATTTAATTGTTTCCAGTATTTTCCCTATGAATTCTCCATTTTCCGTTGCTTAGGGATCCCCATTTGTTTCATCCCTTTGAGGTGACTACGCCCCCAACCTCGCGGCCAATGAGACGGTGGGTGACACCGCAGATCTGTGCTGCCTGCGCGCCCTGGCGGCAGCACGGCGACGGCTTGGGATCATTGGGATAACATGGGATTTTCTGTGTAACATAATATAATAAAAAATAGGATTAATTATAGGGATATTATAAAGATATATGTTATGATATGTTGGATTTTCTGGGGTGTATTTTTTGGGATATGAGTAATTAAGGAATAATAAGAAAGCTTTGGGTTTTAATAGGGATGCAATTCAGGCATAGATTGTAACGACCTCACTGCGACGTCACGACGTAAATGATGCTTCATCTGGGGAATCATCCCGAAATGGCCGAATTTTGCCGCTTGGTGAATTACTATCATATCTTTCCGGTGGTTAGGAGCCAAGGAGCTATGGGTATCCATTGGGTATCCATATCCCCTTTTAAACGCAAAGCCATTCTCAGGGACTGCGTTCGTCGGGGGCTTTTGTGTCGGTACGTGTCGGGACGACCGTGCGCGATTTGAAGAGAGGGAGTTCAGCCTCCAAACTGGATTTTTTAACCATTTAACCATTCCAAATGGGAATTTTCAATATGGCTAAATCATCAAGTTTGATCAATTGTACTAATTTGATGATCAAGGAATTGGCATCATAATATGGTTTAATGGTTGATCATCAATTAATATATCACCGACTATTGGTTGAAAGACCACCCTGATATTATATCATGTGTCCGTGACTCGTGCTCACCATGGTCACAAAGCACCTTTCCGTGACCACCTTCATGCGTGTTTGAAACTGGCCCCCCCCCCTCCAAAGAGCCATTTAGAATTTAAATAAGACATATGATAATGCTTGATCCACAATAATGAACCATGCCCGATGATAACTTCATTTTCCATCATTTTCCCACAACTCTCCAACAGTTTTCATTTCCATGCCGGATTTTGTCCATCATTTCCAATGTAGAAGGGTTCCTCATGTCAATTCCCATATATTGTGGATCCAGGTGGATCCCATATGAACATTGGGTATATGGAGCCATGAAAATATCTGAATATGCTCATGATCTGAGGGTTTCCCATTGATGATTTCCCTGTATTATCATGAATTCCCATTCATTCCCATATGTTCCCAATTGAGATTCCATGAGTTCCGATATAATTGTATATGCCCAGTACTTTATGTTGGCACTCCCATTCCCACTGGTAGATCAAGGTTTTGAACATGGGAATCTCCACCATTTCCCATATTTTTTTTTTTCCCGCGGTCCATTGTTGCTAGAAGCTGCGACCGGTGCGAAACAAAATGAATTCTAGGTGGCGTCCCCCTATTTCGCGAAGTCTGTGCCAAGGTGGTCACTGTACTGAGCCATATTCATAGCCCGCCACCTATGAAGGTTTTCCTGCGAAGGGGATTCATGTTCCACCACCTCAAAGCCATCAATGCCGCTGCGGATTGCAGCAGCTAATGCACCGCAAAATGCGGGTGGGTACCCCTTGAGGAAGCCAGTCCGCCAATGACCGTCTTGGTCCAACCCGATTGCTTTCCCTTTGGGCAGCTCAGATCGCGTCATCCACTTCCGCAATTCCAGAGCCAGGTCTGGAAGGTTGATGACTAAAAGATCTGTCGGTTTCGGAGAAGGGGCGCCAAAGAGTCCTTGTGCCAAGCGTCGTCGTGTCACGTCCGGAGCGGCGAGCAAGGCTTGGACAATTGGAAGTTTCCATACTTAGATGGGCTGTGGGGTTACTAACTGGTTAAGTGAATTAGGTTTAAAATTAAGATGAATACTAACTAGTTAGAATGGAAATTAAATACAGTTAGTTAAGTAATTAGTAAATGGTTAGCTAACTAGTTACTAACTGTTTAGTTCTGCTCTTTTACATGAATATTTTCATGTATATTTAAATAGACATGTACACCAAAAAGCCAAAGAATCAGTGTGGTTTCTTATGTTTGAGCCAGCAACAGCTAATAGCTTCTTGAAGGTTGAGCCCAGGATGGCTAATTTCTTTTCACATATGGTCACCAAAAGCAAGCCAAAGCTTCTGATGTGGAACATAAAAATTGCCCCATGCTGTCCACAGAAAATGTGAGCCTGAAGGCTTTTGATGTGGCACACCTTTGGATATGTGGATGAAAGCAAGCATTCAGCCCAAACAGGCTCCAAAAAATTAATAATAGAAATATGTTGTTTTGTTAGCACAAGAACTGCTGCCACATATTTTCCTTCCTTTTCATCTAAAGCTCCATGGGGTCAAAGTTGTGATCTTTTGCTTGTCTTTGGCAAAAGTCACTGCAACCAGCAGTTCTTCCAAGGGAACCACCACATGGCTCTTTCTGTCTTCCCATTCAGCAAAAGTCTCAGCCAACTTTGTCAAATGCAGCAAATTCATCACAGCCACATCATCTCCATGATTGTTGGTGAGAAAGCAAAGAACTTGCCCACAGTCAAACTTGTTGCCATCATGACTTGTCAAGTATACCAAATCACCTTGGGAAGAAAGGCCATGCTTGATTCTGGCATGGTTGCTGCTGCTGGCATCATTCCAGCTGTACCAAATCTCTGCAGCCAAAGGAACCAATCTCCTAGCCAAAGACTTTGCTTGCAACAAACCTGGCTCAATTGCAAACACATCAGGGTCTGAAAGCCTTTCCATCTCAAGGGTCACAACTTCAGAGTACACAGACCATTCGAAATTGCTCAAGTTCTGAATCAATGTTGCAATTCTTCCTGGCATCTTGTTCTTTCTCTCCATACAAAAGGTATTGGGAATACATTGGTGCTTGGACAGCATTTGGTGAAAGTGCAGAAGCCAATGGTGCTTCTTGATCAGCTTCCAATCCAAGTCAACACACTGCTTCAAGCTGCTTTCTGCTGCTTCCAAAAGTTGCAAGGGAACCACTGTACCATGCCAAGTGGCTTGAAGCAAGTCCATGAGGCACAGGATTGACAAGAAGGCCTCTACTCCTTCTTTGCATGCATTGGCTGGGAGACACACCACTCTCATATAGTGTGCAACAATGCTGCACAAAGTCAAAAGTTCACTGGCAGTAGCAATGATTTTCTTGTGCTTCCTGTCCTTGGCCAATCTTTTGCTCTGAAACAAGGGTCCCAATTTAATGTTGCTCAAAGATTTTGGCAAGTGAAAGTGCTGCACATAAGAAGAAAGTAGATCCCATTGGTCCATCTTGTCCAGCACATTGAAAAGAGCCATGTTCATCACACCATTGGATAATAAACAATGCATCCAGTCCCAACAGTTTTGCCTGGTAGGCCTCAAGATGGGCCTGAGTGTTGGGTTGGCCAGCAATGCATGAGGTGAGAAGCTAATCCCAGTTGCTTGCTCCCACTGCTGGAACTCTTTTTTGGAAACATTGCCATGTCTTTCTTTCATCCTGTCCCAGCTCTGGAAAATTTCCTTGTCAGAAACCAAATGCAGTTGTTCAAATTTGCAGTGCTTTGCAATCTCTGACATGGAGCCATCTTCTGCATCATTGTCATTGTCATCAGCAAGTTGGAAAATGTTGGCACATTGCTGACAAAAGCGGCTACCACTGTCTCCTTTGGTGCTCCAAGAAAATTTGGCAGCTTGACCATCCATAATAAGAAAACCCAGCTGCAAGAAGAGTCTTTTGCCAAGTGTTGCATGCCCTGGTGGCTCCTGCAGTTGCAGACCCAGTTCTTGCACATTTCCATAGCTGCTGTAAAATATCGATTCCAGCAATGCAGACAGAATTTGGCTCAAGTGGCCATCCAAGGCAGCAACAGTGTCACTTCTGATCAGCCCAACTGTCATCCATGCAGCTTCCTTCTGCAAATGGACAGAGAACTCTTTTATAGATATGTATATGCACCACATCTTCCTGGTTGGCACATTGGCCAAGACATTTCCTGGTGTCACCTCATCTGCATAGACCAGCAAGGAAAGTGGGCTATTGTGTTTTGCCAGAGTTTTCTTCAGCAAGGTGTGGAATCCACCTCCTGCCCTGTAAGCTGCATGGATGTATGAAAGCAAATTCACAAGCTTTACCTTCTTGATGCTACCATCCACACCATGCAGCCTGTGTTCCAGCAACAATGGGCCATAGCCATTCATCTGTTCCATAGCAACTCTGCATCCTTCCCTCATATTCTTTGCAGTAGTGAGCTCAGGTAACCCCTCATCTTTGATGTTTTGCAGAATCGCTTCCAATGCAGATTTGCTTGTTTGAGGAATATTTTTCCTCAATTTGGTCAACTTTGCCAATTTACTTGCCCTTGAGGAAGTTGCAGTGCCCTTCTGGGAGGTTTCCATCACAAGCACTTGAAAATAGCACAAAGGAGTAAAATGGTTTCCACTGCAGTGCAACCAACATGTCTTAAAAGAATGTGCTGTCCAAAGCTTTGTTTCAAACTGCCATGATGCTAATGCAATCTCTTGTTTAAATTTTATCTTGTTGCCAAATATCTCAGCCATGCACTTGCCTTGGGCATGTGGGCTGCAAGGCATGTAGTGAATCATAGGTGTGGTTCCTCAAGTTGCAACTGACTATAAGTAAAATAGCCTTATTGTGGCTAATAGCTTTCTATTCACCATGAACCTTTAAAGGTTATAAATGCACATGTTGCAAATGTTTGAGCCATAAAGGCTAATGAAGATTTATATGTTTGAGCCATAAAGGCTGGTGAATATTTATGAGCCTTGCATGGCTAATTTGAAGATTTGAGCCACAAAGGCTAATGAACATCTAGGAGCCTCACAAGGCTAATTGGGAAGACATATATGAGCATCAAAAGGGCTTCTGTGGAACACATGAAGGAAGCTAGCAAAGTAACAGTGCACTATGGCACAATGTGAAAAAAGTGCAGCCTGCAAGGGCTAATGGATGTTTTCAAGCAAGAAAGCAAAACATTGACATCTGAAGAAGCCTTGATGGCTAATGGCTTCAGGTTTGCAGGAAAAGGGAAATCTTGCTAGCATCAACAATTTCAAATGCTTTCATTTTCCCAGGGACTCAGGGTGCTTCAGCAGACCAACCCCATCAAATCACCATCTGCATGGGCCAGAAGGTGCTTTGCCCCATCTGCTCACCCAAGTTCCAACAAGCAGCTCAAATCTGCTTTTTGCAGTTCTGGGCATGCCACTTCCTCCAGGCATCCTTGCCATTGAGCCTGGTTCCCTTGTATTCTGGGAAGTCACACTTCTCACATCCAGATGGAGTTCCTCGACATCTGGAACATCCCCAGCAATTGGCCTTTGGCTCAGCTGGCTGGGCAGCTGCTTTTGGAGCTGCTTTGGCAGCAGCAGGTCTTTTCAGAGCACTTGGCCCAAGAGTCTTCTTGGGAGGGACACATGCTTTTTTGGCAGCACTGGGTCTTTTCATGACCTTGGTGTCCTGCTTCAAGGCTTTCTGCCTTTTGTTTCTGGCTTGAAGTTGTTTAAAAGCTCGATTCTCAAAGTCTTCCAAGCTCTCAGGTTCTTGGCTTTCACCAGAAGCTGCAGCACCAGTGTTGTCAGGCTCTGCATTCTCAGTCCTTTTGTCCAAGGTTTGAGCAGGAATTGTTGCAGCTGTCAAAGTTTCAGCTGCAAGACTTGCAGCTGAAGGCTGTGCCTGGGAAGCTTCCACTGCTTCTTGGGGTAAGTCAGCCAAAGCCAATCTCTCTGGTGCCTCTGAAGACCTGGATGAAGAGGTGGACCTTCTCCTGGTCAAGATGTCAATTTTTGGCTCATCCATTCCTTTGGCCATCTCTTTCATCATTTGCATCATTCGAAAAAACGTGCCCACCTCACTTTCATCATCTGTCCTGAGGGTAGTTTTCCTTTTGTATCTCTTGCTTGGCAAGGCAAGTGAATTGTCTTGGAGATCTCCATGTGTGTTCCTCACAATAGCATCCTTCAACAAAGCACCCACAGAAGGTGCCACCAAAGAGCTCACTGGCTGTGGGTAATCACCTTCTTTGTAGCAAGCTTTCATGAAAGCATCTCCCAAATCTGTAGGCTTCTCTGGGTACCTCAGAAATCCAGCCACCAGACTTGGCTGCTTGCTAGAAACAAAGCAGTCATGCAAATAGTTGCCAAGCTTGTAAACCTCCATGGGGGGAGGCTTGGGCTCTCCCCTTTGGATCATCAGGTGGAGCAGCAAGGACAAAGCATGCTTCTTTGTCTGTTCTTTCATAGACTTGACACCAACTGCTCTCAGCCTGCTGACACATACATGGACAGCTTCCACATATGGTGCAGATTGAACCATTTGCCATTCCTTCGAACTCAAGTAGTTCCACAGTGAGACCAGTATCTGGCAGCCAGCCTGGAGCTTCAAGGCACCAGCAGAAGCATCCACAGCTTTCTGATCCACTGCTTCTTGTAAACTCGACTTCAAATCTGTAGGCAGACTGGAAGCTTCAAGTTTTTCAGTCAACTTCAGAAGCAAGGAGGGGGTCAAAGAATCTATGGCCTTGATCTTGTGCTCCAAAGTCTCAAGCAACTTGGGTAATGCCAAGGCATTGGGCCTGAGCTTCTGCAAGGCCTCCATGTCTTCAATTTCCTTGAGGAAATCATCCACACTCCAAGCAGCCATGGCTGCCAGCTTTGCCAGAGGCAAGGGAAAAAAGCAGAGGTAAAGGACAGCATTTAATATATTCATGCAGTTGGTAAAAGTGACACCTTTGGTGTTGCAATGCAATCTGAACATGTTGGCCATGGTCCTTTCTCAGTCTAGGAGCCCAAGTGCCATTGCATTGTTTTTGTTTGCAAGCACCTACTGGTATGTGCAATGTGTTTCTGAAGGTGCTGATGGAAAGCAGAAGTGCTCCAAATATCTGTATGAGCCTGGCAGGCTAATGGCTTCTTGGAAGCATAGGCTGGTGAATGAATGAGCCTGGCAGGCTAATGGCTACTTGGAAGCATAGGCTGGTGAACGAATGAGCCCTCAAAGGCTAATGGATAGAAGGATTCGAATGCAAACTTTTGTGATGTAGCCCTAGAAACCAATAGCACCAAGTGTTTGGATGTAGATGTCTCTGTTTGAAAGCCTTGCAGGCTAATGAGCTGTTTTGGAAAGAGGCAGAGGGAAGAAACAAAAAGCAACATGTATGAGCCTTTAAGGCCAATGGCTTGTTGAAAAGGTTCACATTTGAATTGTAAGCCTCAAAGGCTAATGTGCTTCTTGAGGGTGGGAAACAAGATGAGCCTTAAAGGCTAATGGCAGATTGAAAAGTGACACTTGCACACTGTAAGCCTCAAAGGCTAATGTGCTACTTTAGAGAGGTACAGGCTCATGGCACAGCCAAAGTCTTCAGCAGCACTTTTTTCAGAGACCCCTCAAAGCTTCAGGCCATGTCATTGCTGCTGCCTGTGTGGCAAACTTCCTCCATCATACAAATGCTAGGTTCCACCAGGATGTCCAGTTTCACCTTCATCTCCACAAGCTTGTCGTATATGCCTTGCACTTGTTCACCCTGGCAGTACACTGCCTGGTTGGTGCTGTCTTCTAAGTGTTCCATTGTTCTCAAGGTACTCACAGCAGAGTCGAGCTTTTGCACCACCTGATGCATGAGCAAAGCCATATTGTTCATGGCCTCCAAGAACTGCTTGAGGTAGGCAACTAACTTTAGCAGCAAAAGGCACACAGCCAACAGCGCAGTCTCCAGCAACATAGCCTAGATGGCCAAGTGGTTGGAATTGTGTTGTTCCTTGGGAGCCAAACCTCTCCATATAGTTCCTGGAGATTGATGATGCCATGAACAAATGCATTTGTCAGGGAAGAATCATCCCAGGAGCAGTGTGTATGAGCCACAAGGGCTAATGTAAACCATAGCTATGCAACAAAGGCTCATCAAAAGCACCATTGCCAAGGAACATCAGTGCAGAGTTTCCTGTGCCCATAATGAGCCTTAAAGGCTAATGGAAGGAATATTGTAGCCCCAAAGGCTAATGTGACACAAGGCTGGGCCTCTAAGGCTAATGAGAAACATGACTGAGCCACAAGGGCTAATGTCAACCAAACCTGGAACCCAAAAACTTGTGACCAAGTGCCAAAACAAAACATTTTTTTTCATTTGACAGAAAAAATGGTATTGTTTTTAAAGTTTGATTTCTTGAATTGATGCTTGGATATTTATTTTTGAACTCAAAACTGTTTGAGTTTCAATTCAGCTAGCTGAATTGAAATATAAACTGTTTGAGTTTCAATTCAGCTAGCTGAATTGAAATGCAAACTGTTTGAGTTTCAATTCAGCTAGCTGAATTGAAATGCAAACTGTTTGAGTTTCAATTCAGCTAGCTGAATTGAAATGCAAACTGTTTGAGTTTCAATTCAGCTAGCTGAATTGAAATTTGTTGGTATTTTTTAAGAAACCAATGCATTACATGAGCCTCCAAAGGGCTAATGTGAGTTCAGCTCATCAAGCTTCAAGCTCCTGGAGCTCATTTTTTTTGCGCATTCAGCCATTGGAAAGCTTTGCTGTTGGGTTCAGCCATCAGCAGGCTCTGTGCTACTCAGTGTGGCTACCCCTCACCAAACAGAGAACATCCATATCTGAGAGTTTGTTTTCGTATTTATTTAATTTTGTTACTCACCATGGGTAGCCTCTTTGGCCCAGCATCACCCCACTTCTGGATAGCACTTTCCAGGCATAGAGTTTGCAGGTATGTGGAGTGATGCTGGGAAAACAACTTCATAGCTCTGTCTAGTTCAAGCCACCTCTCCTTGTTGTAGAGAGCCATGAGCATTACTGCCCTATTTTGCCAGCCTGACTTCCAGCGTTTTTCATGGACACCACTCAGAGTTTCCTGGACAGCTTTTTGCTCCTCTGGAGTTAATGGGATTAACTCACCATGCCACCATCTATATCCTGCTGGTGTTTGGGATTGACCCACAGTGACTCCAGCATTGCCTGTCATCTCAGCCACACCCATGGCACCAGAAGAAGTGTCTTCACCTTCAAGTTCTTCCTTAACCATGGGCTCTTTGGAGTGGAAGTCATTTGCAGATGGCTCTGCCTGAAACTGGCCTGGGTACCATTTCTGGGTGGCAGTGTCCAATTCCTTGGACTCTGCACTGCTCCATTGGTTGGGGTCACTGGCCCATTGATTGGTGGCAGTGCCCCATTCACTGGACTCTGCACTGCTCCATTGGTTGGGGTCACTGGCCCATTGATTGGTGGCAGTGCCCCATTCACTGGACTCTGCACTGCTCCATTGGTTGGTGTCACTGGCCCATTGCTTGGTGGAAGTGCCCCATTCACTGGACTCTGCACTGCTCCATTGGTTGGGGTCACTGGCCCATTGATTGGTGGCAGTGCCCCATTCACTGGACTCTGCACTGCTCCATTGGTTGGGGTCACTGGCCCATTGCTTGGTGGAAGTATCCAATCCTTTGGACTCATCACTGGTCCATTGGTGCTGACTGGAGGCACTTACCCATCCAGTGGGGTGAGCAGAATCCCATTGTGAAGAGGGACTGGTCCATTCATTGGCCTGGTCAACCCACTCCTCCTTGATGGCAGCAGGCCTCTCCCAAGCACCAGTAGGACCATTGTCAGAGTGAGTGGCCCAATCCTGCACAGAAAACAGCCAAAAAACAGTTCACCATGGATAGAAAAATAAAAACAAACATCAGTTCAGTCCTCAGTCACCTGCAAACTCTGGCCATCAGCTGTGGTGACATAGTGCTGCTCATAGTAACTGGTGTAGTGCTCCACTTCTGAGTCTTGGTCCACATCCTTCTCTACAGCAACTTCTTCCCATTCTTCTTCATGGCAGCCACCACCTTGCTCAAGTTCAGGCTGCTCTGCAACATCATCTGCACTTCCACTAGGTGCAGGCTCTTCCTTGAAAGGATCATATTCCTCTGACTTGTCATCTCTTGTGAGTGCAGGCTCTTCCTTGAAAGGATCATATTCCTCTGACTTGTCATCTCTTGTGAGTGCAGGCTCTTCCTTGAAAGGATCATATTCCTCTGACTTGTCATCTCTTGTGATAAGGTCCTCAAAAAAGCCTCGCATAGCCACCCTCTCTGGCCCAGCATCTTCAGGAGGATCTTGCAGACACTCTGCCAGAGCAGCTTCGTTCTGGAGCAGTGCAAGACCCAGATGCATGCAAACACTAACTAAATTTTATTCAACACAAACACCAATGGTTACATGGAGCAGTGGTAAATAAACATATTTCAGCAATACATTGGAAAATACATTGGAAAATACATGGAAAAACAAAACCCCATCCTGCTCTATCAAGGCATCCAGCTCAGTGCCATGGCTGTCCTCCTGAGAGGTAGAATCCCGCAAGGTTTGTATGGAGATTTCGGCATGCCTCCTCATTGCAGGCAAACTCCCTTGAGTTGAAAAAATAGACACAAGCTTTAATAAACATGAAACAGTAGCCTGTGTTTGAGCCCCAAGGACTAGTTTGCAAACACTAGAAACAATAGATATGTGTGAGCCTCAGGGGCTAATTTGCATGGAGCCTCAGGGGCTAGTCTGCAAGGCCATGACCTTTTCAGCCAAATAGGCTAATGTGAAGTAGCCCCACAGGCTAATGTCAAAAACACAAGTGCAGAGGACCCAAGAGTTACTTGAGCCTCATGGGGGCTAGTTTGAAAAGACAGAAGATATAACAATGAAGTGTTCAAGACAATCTGCTTCAGCCCTGAAGGCTATAGAAGCAAGAGCAGAGACAAGTAGAAGCCATGCTCCCATTTTCAAGGCAGGCAAGTCTTCTCAGCCCTGCTTCCTCTTTTTAGAGGCAGGAGCCTTTAAGGCTTCATCATCCAAAGGTTCTGCCTGCAGCAGTTGGGACTCTGCTGTCAAAGCCTTGTCATTTGTGAGCACAGGAATTTTCAATCCATCATAGGTTACCATCTTGACCACCATGGTCACATCCATTTCCTCAGATGTCTTTCCAACAAAATTGTAAGGAATGAGTGCACCATCTGCTGAATCATCATCAAAGTACTTGAAGGCCTTGTAGGGCTGCACCAAGAAGTGCTCACTTTGATATTCCACCACAACTCCTTTGACCTTCTTCAAGTCCTTTCCCTTCAGGCTTTGAATGGTGCCAGCAGGATACAAAGTCAATGCACCCTTCTTCACTTTCACATCGCAAAACAGAGCTGGTGCAGGCATATGGGCAAAGACTAAGCTATTGTGCACAGTGCCCACATGGTCTTTGTAAGCCTTCAACAGCAAGCTCTGGACTTCTGCTTTCTTCAAGTCTGCCCTGAAACATTCAGAGGTGTGAACAGCTTTCAGCAAAGCCATCTCTTGGGTACATCGCTGGGGCATGCCTTTTTTGGTTGCCTTCCAAGAATTCAGCTTGCTGAACTCACACAACTCAGACTCCTCAGGTCCAAAGATGGGTGTGTGGATGAATTCCACAGCACTTTCAGTCCAGCTCTTCAGCTTGAAGACCTTTTCCTCATGCAAAGTAGGGTTCACATAGAAACAATCCAGCAGCAGGTGGGGGCACTCCAGCTGTGCCATAGCTTTTGCACTGGCATTCAGCAAGTCTTTCACCTCATTTGCTGAAGCTGGGCCTGCCTTGGCCTTTGCTGCAGCTGCCACACTTGAAGAAGCTTGCATGTTCCCATTAAGCAAGTCATTTGCAAACTCATCAACAATCGCCTGCGCACTTTCAAAGGGATGATCTCTGGAATGCTTCTCCTTGGACAAGAGGTGCAAAACCAATCTCACACACAATTTCCCAAAGCACATGGCCTTGAAGGCTTGAGCACCAGTGTGCTGCTGCACCTGCTTCCATCCTTCTTTCAGCAGCCCTTCCATTTTCACAGTCTTGTCCTTCAAGCTTCCTTTCATTTTGTCCAAATCTGCTTTGAACACCAGCTTGCTAATGCCATCAGCATGTCTCTTTGAAGTCAAAATTGTGCAAAGCAAGGCTGCCCTGGTCATAGGCAACTTGTTCTCCTTGATCTTGAAATCGAAGTGGCTGAGCTGGAACATCATCTCTGAGCCAGCCAAAATGCTGGGGCCATACTTGGAGCCTCAAATCTATTGCAGTTTGCAGCAAATTACAGAGAATATTTGAGCCCTTGCAGGCTGCTGGAGCCAGTCAAAGGCTATATTGTCTGCATTTGAAGCCTGAAGGCTAATGAGTTTATGTGAAGCCTGCAAGCTAATGTGTTTTGTTTGAGCCTTGAAGGCTAATGTGCTCTACAGTGGGAGCCTCAAGGCTAATGTGTTTTATTTGAGCCTGAAGGCTGCTCTGTTTTATTTAAGCTTGCAAGTTATGCCAAAAACACCTGCAACATCATTTAGTTCTGATCCAAGAAGCAAAAATCCTTCAGGAGGAGGAGAACTGGGAATGCATCCCCACCAGAATACAGCTTCACAAAGTATGCAATGTCATCCATGTATTCCCCACAGGTAGGCAAACCTTCTTTGACAGCCTTCACACATTCATCTAACTTTCTGCCTTGCTTCAAAAGGCTGGCAATCTCCAGCATGGCTTCCAACTCAGAAGTCATCTTGGTGTTGGAGTTGGCAGAGTTCATGGTACTGGCAGCCCATCCTGGAAAGCCAGGAAAAGCCTCCTCCACCTCTGCTTTCACAACAGTCCAGACCCATCCATTGGCAATCAGCTTTGTTAAGTCTTCTCCCAAAGCCAATTTCTCCCCAGCTGGTGACACACACCCTTGTTCGCATGCCCTCAGGAACATGCAGAAGTGTGAGTTTCCCAAGGTCAGGTACCTTTCACTATGTGTCACATGGCCCAAGAGGTTCTCTGAGCTCTGCATCAAGGCAATGTTCTTCTCCACTTGCACTTTCTTTTTGGCAGCTTTGCCCATCTCAATGCACATGGAACTTGCATGCAGCAAAGACTCTTTCAATCCACTGGCAAGGATCAGGGACCCTTTCTTCCAACAGTCATGTGCTTGAACCATACTGCCTCCTCTGTTGTCAGGATGACAAAGCAAATCTGTCACCTTCAGGCAAGATTGGTATGCCAAGCCATTTTGGGTCAGAAGGTCCAAAATCTTGCTCAGCTTCACATTGACCCCTTGCTGGGACTGGAGCAAGGTTTCCATATCCTTTTGTACTTGGGGTTCCATGGCACACAGAGCTATACAGTTTGTAGCAATGCCCAAGGGACACCATTCCGAAATATTCATGATTGAAACCTGGAATATCTGCTGTTCCACATTTACTTTGCAGAAAAAGCCTTGTGCCTTGACACCCATATTGTTCCTGTTGGTGCTATTGCATCCCTTTCTAAGGCCACTAGCAGCCTCATGGCTGCAAAGAAACATTGATTTATTGCCCAGGAGTGCTATTTGATGTCATGTGCACAATGAACCAACATGTTTGAGCCTTTGGAGCCTGCTGGCTAATGTGCTTCAAATGCCAAGGCAACAGCATCATGAGCCATGTATAGGCTAATGTCCTATATAAGGTTAAAGCCCTTGGGCTATATTTCAAACCAAAACTAGAAGTTTGAGCCATGAAGGCTAATGTGCTGCAGAGGCATCCAGTTACATTGGGTTTGAGCCCCATGGGCTAATGAATTTCAGCACAGAGATCTTTCAGCCATGCAGGCTAATTTGCTGAAAGCAGCAGGTTTTCATACCACTTTCTCAGCTCTGCTTTCAGTCTTCCTTCTGCTTGTCCTTGGCAAAGGCTCCACTCTTTTTGTAAGATCTGGAGGCAGTTTCTTCCAAGCAGTCAGGCAACAGGAACTTGAAGACAGCTGACAGCATCTGTGGATCCATCTTCACCATCACATCTGCCACCTGTGGCCTTTTGGAGGGGCACAGCAAGGAAACTAAAGTTCCATGTACATCCACCTCCACAACTGTCTCCATGCTCCTTCTCCTCTTTGCAGGAGGTTCTTCATCTTGAACTTCTGCAGGAGTGTGGGACAGCTTGGAATTTCTCAAATTCTTCAGCTCTTGCATCTTCGGGCCACCAGCAAGAGAAGCATTCCTGGCAGCTTTGCCACAGATCAGGCTATTGATGGTGAAGTTGGTCGCAGACAGCTTGAGGAAAGTGTCTCCTTTCTGATCCTGCAAGGTCACAAATCCAAACATGGGAAAATTTCAAACCATGCTTTCAAACTAGGTGGTGGCTATTTGGGCATTAACCCATGTCCTCCACCAGCAGAGCAGCTGGAATACTCAACAGCTTCCCCTTGTCAAAGCGGATGCTATAGGAGGTTTCAATGTCCACTTGGTAAGCTTCTTCCATCATGAGGTAGGCAGAGCCAAAAATGCTGTGCATGGAATGCACAAATTGAAAATTCATCCAGACACAGTCCACATCAGGAACCAAGCAAAATCAAATTCTCAAGGTATGCAACAATGATGAGCCTCATGGCTTCTTTGCTAAATCACAAAACCAAGAGCCCAAATGGCTAATGTGTGAATGCAAAAAAACATCAGCCCACATGGCTAATTTGTGAATTTGCACAAACATGAGCCCAAAAGGCTAATTTGCAAGCTATAAAATACAAGAAAATAGTTTTTATTTTCAACATGTTTTTAATCTAACTAACTCAGCTAACTAATTAGCTGGTTTAGTCTAAGTGCTTAGCTAACTTCACTAAGTAGTTAATGTTCTCTTAAGATCTTTAAGATGGTTAGCTAACAATTATTAAAAAAAATAGTAACTATGTTTAAAACATTAGGTAAGTTACAAGGATTAGTAATCAGTTAGGAGGTACTTAGCATATAGTTAAGATCTAGTTAGTAAAGCAATAATAACTTACTTAACTGTAGCAAGTAGTTACTAAAACCACAGCCCATCTAAGTATGGCTGCCGCATTCTCCTCCTCTGGCTCCGCCGGGTGCTCAACTATGCCAATCCCTCCAGTCTGGATCATCATGCATGCCAAAAGCAAAGTGAAGGTTAAAAGTTCATTCCCTGTTGCGATCTGAACGAGTTCCTTCAAAGCTAAGCTAGGCAGGCCCCAAAGATGTTCTGCAGTCCGGATGGTGCGCGGCGCACATCTGCTTGTTTGAGCATCTGAAACCTTTTTGCCGCGGGCTCTTGACCACGTTTCACATGGAGGGCCAGCGAGGAAGCCCGCAATAAATCCATCCTGCGCCATGCGTAGCCAATAAGCCCTCGTCTGCTCTGCGCTCGCGTCTCCCCACACGGGATCGATGACAATGTCGACACTGACGACGTGGAGCACAAAGTCGGTGGGCGGTGCCATGCGATCCAAATAAAACTGTAGATCTCCACGGCGCCTTCGCCCAGCAAAAAGGTGAAGAAAAACACGATGTTGACCAAAGGAGCTCGGTGGGCTGCAATGTGCGCTCCAATCAGTCGCTGCGAAATCATTGCACTCACGTTCCAATTGCTCTCTATTCGTGCCTCCTCTGCTCCTCATGCCTTCAAGACCCCACTGCTCTGGTTGTCGTAGGACTCCCAGCTCTTGCCTCACTTGAGGTAAATTGGCCTCCCAGTGCGCAACGTCCGTATCGGTCAGCGAGTCCTCAAAGAAGAGCAGTGTGCGCGTCCACATAGTCCAGGAGGTAGGACGCTCCATCGCCAGTCTTTGGATCGTAGCAATCGCGTCCGGCAATGTCGGTGCATCAATGCATGTCTCCATGATGGCCATGTGGAGGTCATTATCGATGCCCGGGTCGCGTCGAGGCCTCGGTAGCTGTTGTTGAGGTCCTTCAAGGCGCAACGGCGGTAAAAGACGATCATGTTGTTCTTTTAGCCGTCGGTCATGGGTCGAACCAGTGCCTGGTTCAACGGCACATGTGTAATTCCTGCTTTGTAGAAGGGCTCTGCACCGCCGTGAGTAATAGAGGTGCGCCGTCACCTTCTCCATGGTGTGGTATTCTTTGAGGCAGGCAGGGCAGCTTGTAGAGTCCACAAGACTGCGGCGGCTGGCCTGATGTTGGTGTACTTTGAACATGTGTGCCGCTTCCCCTGCGTGTGTCCTGCATCGTTTGCGGCAGGTGAGACATCCAAAAGTCTCGGTGGGTTCAGCTTCAACTTCTGCATCATGTGGCTCATAGTCAAATACGGCCCTGAGCCGTTGAATGGCAAGCGAGTGGAAGTGGAGCAAATGCCACTCATTGCTCCTCTGGAGAATAGCATGTTCACAGGCCCGTCTGACCAGCTTCCTCCAGTAGGTTCTATGATGTAGGATCAGGTTCTTCCAGGATGGCCATTGGTCGGCAGGGTTGCCGAGGTTGGAGCAATTGTGGATCTGCTTCCATAGCCAATCCATGTCCTCCTCAACAAGGAGCGACCATTGTTTGTCTTGTTCCAGCAATCCCCACTCCTGCCTCGGTCCACTGTGTAGGAGCGTTGCCACATAGCGCAGTCGCGCTCTTCTCAGAAGCTCAAATGGGCTAGGGAGTTTCACCTGAGCCAGTACTTCAAGATCATGAAGATGTTGGTCGTGAGATACAGGTAGAAGTCTCCTGTAAAGCCTGATAGTGGCCGCATGAAAATACTTCTCTGTTTTGTCATCCGTCACTACCCAGGTGTCAGCGCCATAAAGCATTTTGCTGAGAATCAGCGCCTCAAAAATTTGCGTCCGCTTCTTCAATGGGATCGCCCAGTTGCGGAAAACTTGTTTTGAGTGCTTGGTCATGGCTGCATTCGCAATGGCAAGTCTGCGCTTGATCTCAACCTGCTGCTCAGCAACGTGGTGTAGGATACCTCCAAGGTGGCAGTAGCGCGAGGCAACAGGTACCTGGAAGGTGCCGTACTCACACACAATGGGGATACTCCCTGAAGCCTGTGGTCCATAGAGCTCCTTTTTGTGTTTTCGCGATGCCTCCCCTCGTAATGAGAAGAGGATCTCGGTCTTGTTGGGCTGGAGGTTGGGAGTCATGCAGTGTTCCATACAGAGTTCTAAAAGACGACCGGTTGCTAGCGTCGCTCTTTGAATCGTCTGCGCCGGATTGCCTCCTTCAACGCATACACATAGGTCGTCCATCCACGTGGGCCCAATGAACGGCTCATAAACAGCTGTCTCTGGGTGCTCTTCTGCAAATAGCATGAGCGTGGGTCGCTGTCTGAATTCGCTGATGATGCCCTGGTTCTGCATGAATGCTTGCAACTTTCTCAAAACAACTGCCCAAACATAACTGAAGATGACGTCTGCGAATGGATCGCCTGGTCTGGAGCCATGCGACGTCTGCACGATGTCATGCTGGCGATGCATCCAGAAAAAGGTCTGCGAATGCACAGCTCTGATGCTGCGCCTTTGTTGTGGTGTCATGCCCGCTTGCTCCAAAGCACTAGGATCTCTCAGCAGCCGGTGTAGGTCGGCCAATGCTTCAGCCGGCATCTTCAATCTTTGCATGAGTTGGGCAATGGCTTGGTCAGTCACCGTGCCCTCCATGCAGAGTGGCCGGAAGATCCTGTAAAATGCTTCCTTCAGATCGAGCATGATAAGCGCACAAGAGTGTCCACAATGTTGTGCTTGACGGTGAAATGCACGAACTAAGTGAACACCATATGTGACGGGCATTGCTCGTCTGCCCCCAAGCTGTTGTGCTTGGAGGAATCCCTCAAAGATATGAGCTTGTGAGCATCTCATGGCTCGGTGCAGCGATTTGCCGATGTGGCTGGATATCAACAGCGATCTGTAAGAGCTACATTTGGTGGCCGCACCCTTTCCTTTGTACGCCTGCACCAATAAACCTCCCTTGTACTGCAGCGCCTCGTGGCCGAAGAGGAGAAGCTTCCAAAGGGAGGAGTATGTTGCTCTGGCGCACGCAGCCGGTGCGATGTGGCACAGTTCACCGGGAACTCGATCCGGTCCAGTAGCCTTGCCAGATGCCACACGTCGATATGCCAGCTCAAGGTCCGCGAGCGTCGGCAGGTCGGCAACTTGCAGCTTGAAAGGGATTGCCTGTTCCACACTCAATTCGCGCACCCAGTCCGCATGGAGCTCCTCAATGCTTTGTCGTTTGCCGCCTTCCATATCAGCAAAGAATCGAATCCAGACTTGCAAAGCTTCTTCGGGCGTACTGCAGATCTCTCCGTCCTCTCTTTCCAGCATTGGCAGTGTTCCCTTCTTCTGCTTCTTGGGATTGGTCGGTCCAATGAAGCCTTTCAGGAGACGCAAGATGCTGGACGCTGCTGTGTGTTCGTTGACCTGTTCCAGGCACTTCTGCATGTGTTTGGCTTTGTTCTGTTTCAATTTGCAACGAAGTCGTTGGCGTTGTGCCCGAAGTTGGGCTAGGAGTCGAAGTGCATCACATCTCAACGTGGTGCCATATTGAAAAAGTTCATGTTGGTCAGGGGGCTCACGCTGTTGCTTCCATGCAATGAATACATGCCATAGCGACTCCCTTCCGAGTCGTTGCCTGACCTGCTTCAATTTCTTTTGTGAAGAAAGCATCTGACGTCTAGCCTCCCAAATTTCATCGTCGATGTAGCATTTTTTGGGCCTGTGCTTACTGTGGCGCTGTTGTCGCAGGAGATTTGCAACTTGTAAGCTGAAGTCTTGCTCTTGCGTCTCCACATTTGTTGCCCATGTTGGGATACTAACTTGGTGCATTTTCTCCCGGATGATCTTCTTGGTGGTGTCGAGATGCCAAGCAACCGTCGGCATGGAGTCTGGCTGCGGTCCTTCCTCACATTGATGCCACCAACGTAACTCGAGCCCAACAGCTTGATGATCTTGTCTCATTGTGGCTAAATCAAAATCCTGCAGAACTTCCGACCATGTACAGTGTGACTTCCATTCCTGTGGCGCTGCAACATAGTCAATGCAATATGTTGTGTCTCCTCCAGGCCTCATCCATGTGTCACGGCTTCCTCTATGAACGCTAGAGGTTGAAGGCAGGCACATGTTGAACTTGCGGAGACATTCCCGAAAAAGGATGGTGTTGGCAGAGGTTCGCAGACCCGTGCTGAAGATAATCGAATCTTCTGCAGGGCCCGGCTCTGCATTGGCATCCAGCAACCAGAAACAGTTGGAAGTTGCTCCAGTGCGGTCCAGGATCGCAGTCGTCTCATTCCACCACTCTTCACGGTCTTCTCTTGTCCGGCCACTGTGTGGCGCATGGGCAGCGAAGAACCAGCC